AGAAAACCAGAAAAATAAGAGATAGCAAGATTATTAAGTACATCAGCTTTATGACCTGCTAAAGAACAATCTAATAAAACACAAGAAATGAAAGATGCAGCATAATGAACAGAAACTAGAGTAATGCAGAAGCATTGTTAGGAAATGAGATCCTAATGATTACCAGCAAGTAAAAGAAAAATATGTGAAGTTAACTCTAGGAGTGTAAAATACAAAAAGAAAAAGAAAAGAAAAACCCTATAATTACAAATCAGTCATCATAAAAAGAGAGAGGTGGGTACAAACTGAGCTTAGTCCAGCTGATTACTCATTCTTCGATCCAGCTACAGCCACCTAGGAGCCTAATAAACTCCTTCCCTGGAGTATTATGGCAGATTTTGGATGATGAGATTCAGAAAGTGGCAGCATGTAAAGTTCTCCTCTACATATGCAATCTTTTGGCTGCCATACTTTAAAGAATTATTAATAATTTTGTTGGCCCAGTAGAATTGGAATCATTTCATGCAAACAGGCAGGAGCAGAATGTCTTGGTGTGTTGAGGGGAGTTTGAAATGTTCTCATTCCAAAATGCGGATGGATTATTATTATTATTTTTTTGAGAGGGATGATAGGCCTTTTGAAATATATAGTCTAGGCGGTCACCAGCCAAAAATAACTGCCTATTTATTTGATTGACCAATTTCTGCCCCACTTTTCTGGTCAATTGAACGGTTTGTTGCCAATTTCAGTGACATTTGTTTGAGATCTCTAAACGCTGTGATGAACTGATCCAAGGAGCCATGTTTTGTGTCCCCTACTCTATTGTACAGGCTCCTAGGGTTGAAAATAGAATATATCTCCTAAACAGCAGAAGAAATTGAGTTTGATTGTTTTATATGCATCTACCTCTGCTTATTTCTGGCTTTGGGTCTTAATTCTCCTTTTTGATTGATCGATGCTCTGTGACAAGAGGGAATTGATCTCAGGCAGCAAAATTCAGTTGCATCTGACTATGACCAGGCTTATATTTCAACAGATCTGCCTTTTCAGTTAAGGGTATCTATACAAAGCAGCCAACAGTAAAAAAAACACGTTTGCTCATTTTTCCTGGAAAAATCCAGCCCTTATGGATAAGCATTATATGTGAACCAAACCAGCATGTATTATTGAATTTATTATTAGTACAAGCCAAAGTACAGTGTGTCATGAGAACAAAGTCATATATAGATAAAGCTATCAAAACTCTGGGCTCAAAAACTTGCTGGAATGCCAGAATTACAATCACAGTGTTCCAGCCAAAATTAATTCCTAGTTAGCAAAGACTTTATTTTAGCATCATAATTTTGGAGTTAAGGAAAGAGACTTTTTGTTGTTCCTATTATTAAGCAATTGGAAGTCTGAAACCATCGCTACTCAAATGTGAGTCACACAGAGATCTGACAGTACATCCGGATCTATCTTTTATTTTTCCCTTCCCTGCTCTCAGTTCAGCGTGATTTCTTCTCTAAGGGGTTGGGGTACAAGCGGTGAGATTATTATTGGATATCTTGTCTCTTCCTCCCGCATTTTATCTTGCCTGCAAAAATATATTCTGGGTCTTTTCTCCCCTCATCTTTTTTTTTTTTTTTTCAAACAACGTAACAGCCATAAGGGTTCTGCTTCAGGCTACATTGTGTTTCATCAGATCAAAATAAGGGGAGAAAGCCATCCATCTTAACTCGGCTTGCCTCTTCACACTGCTTTGGTGTTTAATGTTGAAAAGGAGGGGGAATATTAGAATGGCAGACATGTATAACCAAAGAGATATATCTCCAGTATAATTCAAATGCTTCAGGGTTTTTTTCAGATGAAACAAAGTGGGGGATTGAGTTTTCTCTAATAGTGCTATTAATTGGTATAATAAATCTGATTTTGGAGCTAGTAGAGGTGTGGGGTTGGAGCCAGTGGGTGGGGATGGATGGATAGATAGATAGATAGATAGATAGATAGATAGATAGATAGATAGATAGATAGATAGATAGATAGATAGAGATTATAGTTAATAGGTAGGTAGATAGACAGACAGACAGAGATAGAGATGATAGTTAATAGGCAGGTAGGTAGATAGACAGACAGAAGACAGGAAGAGATATAGATCATAATAGATGATATAGATAGATAGATAGATAGATAGATAGATAGATAGATAGATAGATAGATAGATATGATCGTTAATGGGTAGGCAGGCAGGCTCTTACCTAATAGAAACAGCTAAATTCAATGTTTTTGAGAAAGGTCTGAATTATGTTTGGTTTTGCTGAAAACACATTAGCAGCTTTTGTAACTTTTGTTTTTCAGAACTGGGGTGGCCTTATTTTTCACAAGAGTGGAGCCAGTCAGATCCAAATAATGAGATGGGACCGGTTCAGATCTTAGGGGCAATGGCCTACCCATAACTAAGGAAGCTGCTTCCTTCTTTATCTTTATAACCTACCACATGAAACGACAACTGTCAACAGGGAATAAACTATTCTGTCCAGAGAGGCTATCTACATCATTGAGGATTCCTCGCATGAACAGACTCTATAGATAGAAGGGGATCTCCACCAGTGATGGTTGAGTTGTGCATTCAGTGTGTGAAATAAGGGGTGGGACTAGTGCAGTTATCCCCATTTTGTATATAGGTCAGTGGTCCCATTTTGTAATCAACATATGCCATTCTAGTATACAGAGCATAAGTGAGGATTTGCCTTCCAAGCTTGGTGACCAGCTGTGTTGTCTTATATTTCCGTGTTGTCTTATATTCCGAGAATTCCCAACCAGTTGCTCTTTGTCTTATTAAAATAAGTACTGTAGTTAGCCAAAGAAGAAACAGGTGAAATTCAACTAAAGGATCACACACTGAGCATTGTGAAATATAAATGAAAAATGTCTCTCAAATCAATCAGAATAGAGCTGGAAGGGACCTTGGAGGTCTTCTAGTGTAGTCCAACTCCCCTCCTCAAGTAGGAGACCTTATACCCGTGATGGTGAACCTATGGCACGTGTGCCACAGGTGGAACTCAGAGGTATTTGTGCCGGCCACAGGCAAACTTACCTCACTGCGCATGCACGCCCCTCACAGCTGATTTTTGGCCTCCCAGAGGCTTCAGGAAAGCCTTTGCAGGCTGAAAAATAGGCCCATTTCATCACTTCCTGTATTTCCGGAAGTGACGAAACGGGCCCATTTTTTGGCCTGCAAAGGCTGCAGAAGCTTTCCTCACTAGGAGGCTGAAAAAGGCCTCAAATGGGCCGAAAATCAGCTGGGAGGCGCAGTGCAGGTAAGAGGGCAATGTGGAGGATTGTGTGGGGGCGCACATTGTTTTCTGGCTGCTGGCACATGAGCACACACACGCAAGCGCTCACACAATTTTTGGCACTGGAGCCCAAAAAGGTTAGCCACCACTGCCTTATACCATTTCAGACGGATGACTGTCCAGTCTTTTCTTAAAAACCTCCAGTGATAAACACAGCAAACTGTTCCACTGATTAATTGTCCTCACTATTAGGAAGTTTCTCTTTAATTCCAGATTGTTTCTCTCCTTGATTAGTTTACATCCATTGTTTCTTGTCTTGCCTTTCTGATGCTTTGGAAAATAAATTGACCCCCTCTTCTTTGTGGCAGCCCTCCAATACTGGAATACTGCTAACATGTCACCCCTAATCCTTCTTTTCTCTAGACTGACCATACCCAATTCTTGCAATCGTTCTACATATGTTTTTCTCTCCAGGTCCTTAATCGTCTTAGCTGCTCTCTTCTGTGCACTTTTCCAAAGTCTCAACATCTTTTTTTGTAATGTGACCAAAACTGGATACAGTATTCCAGGTGTGCTCTTATGTCAGAGTATATTCATGAACTGGAATAGAGCATGGTAACAAGGTCAGCCAATGAATAGACATAGCAACTAAGTCAGCCAATGAGGACTGTTTGGAATCTGAAACGAGAAGTAGCCTAGGTGTGGTTCTATATTAAGCTCTGCAGCTCTGAAGCTATGTTAAGCTCTGAGTCTGTCTATTGAAAATGAAACTGCTTCTCTCCTCTGCTGTGTGTCTTGCTTGCCTGCTGAACTAAAATGAAACCGATGTCTGTTTCTGAGCTACTGAGTTGCTGTTCTGCTCTGAACTTGTAACATGTCTGCTTCTGTTTGAGTTTGTTCCATGTTGGAGAAATCTACAACTGGTATTGTAAAATTTACTTTATATGTTTATAAAGAAGTGAAATGAAGCCTCAGTCATCTGTGTTTACTTTTCTAGCGCTGAATTTACGCTGCACATTTTACTAAGGATTTATAAAGCCCTACTAATACTTCACATGATTTTGATTCTATGCCTTTGTTTATACAACCAAGGATTGTATTAGCTTTTTTGGCTGCTGCCGCACACTGTTGGCTCATGTTTAAGTGATCGTCCGTGATTTATTTAGTCCCTCTCACATTTACTATTTTTGAACCAGGTTTTAACTAATCTGTACTCGGTCCTTCAAAATCAAAATAATATTAAGGTACTTTTCCTGGCAACAATGAACAATTGGTTTGACATTGCCTTTTTATTCTAAACAAATTTATATAGTATTTTAATAAGATATTAAACAACAAAGATGAATCAGAGGGGTTATCTGTTCGACAGAGATTTGTTTACTTTTGAAGCTCTGGTTTAAGCTAGTTGCTTTATGGGGAAATTAAAAAGCAAAAATCTTTTTCGCTGCAAAGAAAAAGACTTTGCCATACATTTAAGGAATTTGCATATGAATTGAACAAGACAGCACTTGTTCATGGATGTTTGCTCTAGTTTTACTACCTAAACATGTAACAAAAATCTCTGTGGATAGTGGCTGCCAACCCCTTCCCCTTTCTAGCTATTATGAGTTAGATGAATATGAAACAGTCTCTTATCTCCTTAATTTACAGGTACGGTAAGTGAAACTGAAACACTTGTGTTAGCAGCCTCAAGTTTGCAACTTCAATGGGTTTAAATGCAGGCTTTTGGCACATTCTCTCACACAGGGGCAGTTTACCTGGAGGGAAGTCTTGAAGAAGCCAAACAATTGTTTGGACGCCTGCTCTTTAACGACAAGGTATGACTTCATTTCTGTCTTGATTATAGCTTGCACCTTGTTTTCTGCTTTTCTGTAGTGCTTCAAATCAAGTGCTTCAGAGGAAAATTGAAAAGAATCCTGCCTCTCAGAATGTAATACCTTGATCTAGCAAAATAAAGCAAAAGATTATTGTAATTACTGCACATGCCCGGTTTTCTGCTCTAAAGACAAGGTGCCAGAAAAGACTGCTCGGTAGCAAGTTTCTATTATCTTGCTCAGAAGGAGCATGCAAAATGTGGCAATCCAGACAATCTTTCCCATGTCTGACATAATTTATTTGGGGATTGATGGGAGGAAAACTGACAGTGCTGAAGAGAACATGGGTGTAAAGAGAACAAATGAGAAGAAGAAAAAGTTGAATGAGACCAATGTGAGAAGCTGCGGAGGCTGGTTCAAAGCTCCTCTGTAGCCCTGTAAGTTCGCTGGATGATTTTGAGCAGGGGTCTCCAACCTTGGCAAGTTTAAGACTTGTGGACTTCAGCAGTTAGCTGAGGAATTCTGGGAGTTGAAGTCCACAAGTCTTAAAGTTGCCAAGGTTGGCCTTGAATTCCTGATGGAAAGTAATATTTAGGAGAAGCAAACACCACAGATTGCTGGCGATGAGAAACGATAAGCCAGTGTAAGCTTACACACTTAAATCAGTTTGCTTCAGAAAATCATATCAAAAGTTGTGCTTTCAGCCATCAGCACGTAGATCTCCTGACGCATACAGTCATCTTGGGGAATGTGGCAATGCAGCTGAGCTGAGATGTAAGGAGCTAGCAGTGCATAAAGGAAGGGAGGAATGCCTTCCCCCAACCCGTGACTTCTCTCGTGCAAATTGCAGGCCAAGTACAGGCTGTAGTCCTCGACTTATAGCCACAATTGAGCTCCAGAATTTATGTTGCCACGTGAGACATTTGTTCAGTGAGTTTTGCCCCCTTTTACAACTTTTCATGCTCCGTTTGTTGAGTGAAACATTGCAGTCATTAACTTAATGACACAGTGGTTAAATGAAACTGGCTTCCCCATTATCAGAAGGTTGCAAAAGATGATGACATGACCCCGGGACACTGCAACCGTCATAAATATGAATCAGTTGTCAATCCGAATGTAAATCACATGACCATGGGGATGCTGCAGTGTGAAAAATAGTCATAAAAAGTCACCTTTTTCCATATTGTCATAACTTTGAACGATCACTAAATGGTTGTAAGTCGAAGACTACACCTGTCATGCCCCTGGTGGAGACTGACCCTGAGGGAGAGGAGGAACAGCCGACAGGGAGTGGGAATGTGGTTCCGGAGGTTGTGGAGGAGGCTGGGGAAGGGCAGAGGCAGCTGAGCAGTCAGAGGAGGACCCAGGCCCATCCCCTCTCCATCCTAGGGCACGTAGGGAGAAGAGAATAAGGGAGAGACGTGGTCTACTTGGAAGGAGAGGGCCATGATCCTCTTCATGGCCTGCAGCTGTGACAACTGAATAAGAGTATGGACCTGCGTACTGGTGAACGCTGGAAACAAAGCGTGTAAATATGTCTAGTTTATAGTTCCTCTCTGAGTTTGGCATCCTTCCCAGTGTGTGTTATCTGTGGACATCTTCCAGCCCTTATCTTTCCTGGTTTGTGTTGCTTTTTTCCTTCTTTGTGTAACTGTTTGTGTGGGAGGTTTTTGTCTTCCGTCAAACATATTTGAAGCTTGGAAGCAAAGTGAAGGAATAAAAGGGGCTTCAACTGTTTTCTGTGACTGTGTTTGTTTTGTATCCCACCCTGGGTCATCACACTACCTGTATGTTGTAAGAGAGAAGCATTGGCAGAAACAACCAACATGTACAGTTTTTATTGATTGTAAGCTTTTGGTTTCATGCAGGTGGGGTTATGTGCAAAATATAATTGTGATCCACGTTCAAGCTTTGGTTAATTTGTCTTGAGGTTTTCCTTCTTTCCTTTCTTTTGGCTGGAATGAAACTCCTGAATTTTTAGTTACAGAACTTTAAGCACACACACACAAAAAAGTAACCCATTATGTAGTTCCTGAACGGTGTGTGTTCTCCCTCCACCTAATTGACATGAACTAAATGGAAGCACTACAGGCAGTTTGAACAAAGAATGCCTGCTTTTTAAAAATGAGTTTGCCAGCACTATTGAGTTTGCAAGAAGCCAAGTCAGCATCTTAAGCCATTTCAGTCTGTTGCAGAATGACATTTTATTTAGCAATGTGGAACTTGTTAAACGGTTCCCTTGAGCTTTAAAAGCATCTTTCCACATTTTGCAGGACCTGCGGCAAGTATGGCTTAATTATCCTCTGCACCCTCTGCAAGTAAGTGTCCCGGCTTTTCACTAACGAATTTCAGAACAGTTTAAGGATGCCTTTTATTGGTCTTTTGCCAGGGCTGACACCTTTGAGCACTTCACATGCACATATGGCCTTTGTGAATTTTTTTTTTTTTTGGCAGCTAATAAGTGTCAAGTGCTCGGGCTTAAAGGCAGGCAAGAATTTTAGAGGAGACAGGTGGGCGGGCAGTAATTGGGCAGGCCGATGTCAGTCACAGGGCAGCCATGTGGAAGACCACCAGCTTGGTGGCATCGGGGAGAGAACAAGCTGGCAACTTTGCTCACCGTGAGACTATCTCCGGATGGAAAAAATGCAACAAATCTCAAAGCCTCAGGGAGGCAGGGCATCCGTATGGCCTTTTCAGTGTCACCTGATTCCTTTGGGAGGATTCAGGAAGACTGTCAGCATCTCAGCTGGAACTTTCCTCTGCTAAAACAAGAAACAGATAGAAAGCAGCTCTCTGGAGAAGAAGGTTCTTTTCTGAGCTAGCAACATTTCCTCAGGAACAGGGGTCTCCAACCTTGGCAACTTTAAGCCTGGTGGATTTCAACTCCCAGAATTCCTCAGCCTGCTTTGAATTCTGGGAGTTGAAGTCCACCAGGCTTAAAGTTGTCAAGGTTAGAGACCCCTGCTCCTGAAGGAATTTATTTCCTCATCTTCTCCTGGGAAGGTTGATTCTTCCTTGATTTCCAAGGCAGGCAAGGGAAAAAGATGTCTTCCACCATCTCAAATGTAGAATTAAAAGAGAAGAATAAGAGCACTTCTTTCCAAAGCTCTTAAAACTTTGGGGGAATGTTCTTTAATGGACTCCTCTCTGATGGCCAATCATATGCAATTTTGGTATCCCTGGACAGAAAGATACAAGATATAAATGGAGTATGTTATTCACAGTTATAGTATGAATACTTAAGGTTTTTTTTCTTCTTCTGAAGTTGAATAAGCCAAAATAGATGTTAAAAGTAAGGAGAAGTGAAAGAAAAGAATGATTGTTTTTGTCTATCAATTTTTGTTATGATTGCTGCTCCTAAAAGTTTTATTTCTATGGTTTGCATATGAATACCTAAACGTGCTATAAAACAGAATGTTGGCAATGTGCTATAAAGCTAGGTAAGTCCTATCATTTATTGGAGCATTGCATTGTTTATCTTGTAAAAATCACACTACTGGCGGAAACGTCCCCCACGTTCCGGTTTTGTCCTTAGAAAAGCTAATTTTAACAAAAGTGGAACAAGGCCCTATAAAAAAATGCAATTAAGTTGCTGCAATATCCCCAAGTTTGAGCATCCTATTTTCACACTTTCAGCAAACATTCTTGCTAGCTTCCAGCTAAAATAATTTAATGGGAAAATGTTAGATTAAAGAAAACAGGCAGAGGATTCTACAGTGAAATAAAACCTTTTGAATTATGTTTTTATAGGAAAAAAATGGAGAGATTCATTGATTACATTTATATCTTTTTTAAAAAATATCCACGTGCAGTTAATCCATGGGCCACTGGAAAAAAATAGAATATATAGATAACGTAGTTAACATTCTGAAAGGAAAAAAAATCAGCTGGGAGGGGTAATAAAACTTGGCAATAGCTAAAACGGTACAGTATACATAAGCATGAGAGAATAGGACCTCTGCAATTATCAGCAAAATTACAGACTTGGAACACATGAGGATCCTGAATTTTTTTTTTGAGAACTCTTGGAACTATTCTGTTTATACATGTTCGTAGGTTATTGAATCTTCCTATATTTAAAGCTAGATTAAAATATCTTCCAGACTGAGCTTCATTCTTGTTGAGTTCACAGTCACTGACTGCTGTGTAGTTCTCATGGCAACATCATAACAGCATCTGGTTGTTGCTTTGTTCCAGGAGCCTTTCTTCATCTTCCCTGAGATTTGGGGGTGATCTCCCATCCAACTACTAACCCAATCCGATTCTGCTTAGCATTTCAAGGTCAGCTAGGTGTTGTAGGTAGCGTTATATCAGAATGTGTTTCAGATTAAATTTATGGTGCAGAATCTGCATTTAGTCATTCTTTCTCCAATGTAGTATCTTTCAGATAGCCCTTCATGGTTCATATCTAGAACCATGATAATGCACTGCTGAAATTTAGCAATGAAAATTAAAATTTAACCAAAATGTACCGGTTAGAGGATGGGATTTTTATTTGTGTTTTAATCCACTGCTGGTTGATAACCAAATTAAAGAGAATTGAGTGATTTTAACTGAGAATTAGGAGTGGGAATGGGAACAAAGGATACGTTACATTGCTTTTCTCATCATCAGATGAACAAAATTGAACTGACCTTCAAGACAGCTTCATTATTTAAGGACACTTTTTGTGGCTTTAGGGTGAAAGAATGGGAGAAGTATGCTATTCCTATTTCCTTCTCTTTAATTTCTACCTAACTCTCCAGTGGGCTCAAATTAGTTTGAATATTGGCAAAGGCCATTTTTGAAAGGCATTAAAAGTAACGGATTGAATGGTTTGCTTAACAGAGACCTCCTCCTTCCCATCTTTACAATCTGTTCTCGAACTACCTCAAAAAATGAGCTAGAAAATATTGGTTTTTTTCCCCTCCAGGTGACTTCACTGGATGGCTTCCTGCGGCCTTCCAGGAACTTGGAAAGCCAAGCTGTCCATCACTTATAAGAGCTGAAGTCTAATAAATATGGAGTGAATAAGACTGGGGGAAATAGTTGTAGGAAAGCTTTAGTATTTATTTAATAAAGCATAGTAAAATTAAACAAGATTGCTGCATAAGAGAAAAAAAAATGGTGATCCTGAACCTTGATTGATTGATTTATTTTTGCGATGGCAATAGCATTCTTAAGAGTTTGCCATTAAAAAATGCTTCATGCTCAGTTCATGCATTGTTGATTTTTTTTATTACTCAAATTTATGTTGCCGCCTGTCTCATTGAAGGTGATTCTGCTTAGTGCATAACAATAGATAAAAACGTAATAACGAATACAAATGCAAAAGCAGTAGTAATAAATATCCTAAATCTCCAAAATGAAGGGAGAATTTTAAAAAATGCCCCCTCAACAATGGAGTCTGGTCAAATCCCCAGTTCTGTTGAAGCCCCAATAACCAGATCTTGAGGGCCTTCCAGACAATCAAAAGGGATGGAACTAACCTAATTTCAGGAGGAAGGATGTTCCTTTAGGCAGGGGCCACAGCAGAGAAGACATGTGTCCTGGGACCCACCAAAGGTAGATCTTTGGCCGATGGTAATTATTAGGATAGCATTGCAAGCTACCAAAGCGTCCGCTGTGCGGTGATTAAGACATCATATTACAAAGATAGAATGTAAAGTACCTAATCAAGCTCCTTCCCTTGCTTTCTGATTTCAGCTCTTAAATTTCTCCTCTAAAATTAATTTGTTGTCCTCATTGTTTAACAGCTGCAAGAATCTAACACTGACAGACAGCTGATTGAGACGTCTCCTGTCCTCCAGAAATTGACTGAGTTTGAGGATGCTATTGGAGTAATTTTTACTCACGTTCGCCTCTTGGCACGGGCTTTCACTTTGAGAACAGTGGGATTTAACCATCTGACGCTGTGAGATTTTTTTTCTCCTTCTCCCAAATAAATGCCTTGCACTTTCTTTCTGTGGGAAGACTGAGTGGCTGTTGTTCTCCAGGAAGAAAAACTGGGCTTGTGCTGATCTACAACTGTTTTCCCAGTTCAGATTTCCCCAAACCTCTGACCCTAGAGGTCCCACCAAAGCATCTTACGGTTTGCCAGATTTGTAAACTTATTTGTTCCAGATTAGTTGAGATTTTATCACATAAATATTGAAGGACAAGAAACAACATTCTTGCTTACTGAGATGCTTAACTACCCAAAGTTTGCTTCTGGCCCTGGCATAGGTTGAATCATCTCTTCTGTTTTTAACTAGCTACAATTTGGCATTTCATTCAAATTAAGCAATTTGTGCAGAAGAACCATAGTTGAAAGTATCCAGAGGTTGTTTTTTTAAAAAACTTATGCAGAACCACAGTCAAGCAAATGTTCTTTCACAGGGACATTTGATGCAATCCCCTCACTTCATACAGTTTATGTTTTCATAAAGTGATTCATAGCTAAATTTATAGTGGTTTCCTCCTTATTACTTCTGACAACCTAAAAGCCTTATTTTGTCTTACCCGGCAGAAGTGGGATTTGCAGCAACCTGCAAAATGACATTCTGTGCACAGTGGCATCACAGAAATGCTGCAATTACGTGCATAATCATAACATTTACGTGGTGACATCAAATAAGTTTTGTCATTTGACTCCCCTTTGCTCTCCCACGAAAACCCATACTTAGCAAATAAAAATATACCGCATTGTCTTAAACTGTATGATACGATCACCAGTGTATTGTTCTGCCTTTTTAAAAAATATCCAGCTCTCTACAGCAAGGTAGCATTGTTCCCTTCTCTGTATAATCTCTTCCTTCCTTTAATCTCATGCTTCAGGGGCCATAATCAGAGGATGGAATTTCTGGGTGATTCCATAATGCAGTTGGTGGCCACCGAGTACTTATTTATACATTTTCCTGATCATCACGAAGGCCACTTAACGGTGAGTGTATCATTCATTATTCTTGGCAGGAGTAAAACTGGGATAGTCTGATTATGGAAGGAAATGGAGAAAAAGAGAAGAACTTTGTGAAAGCAGCAAGTGAATTATTCTGGGTTTAACTGAACATCTGCAGCCTCACTCCTCTACTTGCTCTTAATAAGGTTCTGTTAATTTCAAAATGTGTATCCTGCCACAATCAAGGAAATGTGATTTATGGAGCCTGAATGTGATGTTATCTCTTCCTTAAAACAAATCAATAGCTTTAATAACCATGCTGATTAAGTTATTTCTCTAAAACACTAGAGGTAATTCCAGTTCATTTGCAGGAGAGCAAAAACAATTGAAATCAACAGAGGCCATTAAGATGGGGTGCTGTTCTTGCTTCTTGGAGGTGAATAGTTCAAGCAGCAACTTTATGAAGTTCGCTTTTTCTAGCCTCCTCCCAGCTTTCCTCCTGATTATTAAGCTAAGCTGTAGGCACACAATCTTACATCTTAGAGGTTGTGTATGACTGTCACCCACAAGAACTGGGGGCTGAAGATCCATAAGGAGCTTGCAGGTAATTGCTGATTGGTTTTCTGCTGCCGTTAGTGGCAGGAAATCAAATATTCTAGAAACCGGCAATCTCCAGTATGTTTCAAGAAGCGAAAGGGGTAAAAGAGGCAGAATAATGAATGGAGAAAGGGGGAGAAAGGAACGCACGCATATATGTGAATGAATAAGTGCAGGCAACTAGGAATCTCTATGGTTCACTTGAGTGTAAAAATAGTGCTCTCCATTGCACTGGGATGTAAATGCATAATTTTTTTGGGGGGGGGGGGGGTTAGGAATTTTAGGAACTACAGATCACATCTCTTCGATGAAAAATAGATTAAATCAAATTAGAGAAAGGACATGTCCAAAGTGCATTTTTCCTCTTCGTCATGTATTATTTTTTTCCTCTCATTCTCTGACTTCTATCTCTATCCTGCTTAAAATCCTTCATTTTTATTTCAGCATTTGCCCAAAGAAGGCAGAAAGGGGTTACAAAACAATTTGTGGGTGTGCTGGTTGTATCTTCATGGGGGCTTGACCCTCCAGATATTTAGACTTCCTCTTTTGATGGCTTAGCAGTTCTAATGGAGAAAGATTTTGAGGTTATGGATATACTCGCTTAACAGTGGTAATTGTGACTGGAAACTTCATGACTAATCAGCACTGTCCTTAAGCACAACGTGATGTGACCATGCCAACTAATAACAGCAGTGCCAGCGTTTCTAGTTGCCATTGCAAAGTAACTTGTACACTGTCATGAGAAGCTCACATAACCATGGCTGGCGAGGCCTGCAGGCTTCCCTTTTGACTTTACCGGTGAGAAGCCGGCGGGAAAAGTTGCAAATTTTGATCACATGACCAAAGACACTGCAACAATTGGAAATGCAGGCCAGGTATCAAGTGTCCGAATCATACGCACAGGACTGAGGGGATGCGGCCACAGGCAGAACTTCAGCAACGCTTATGAGTCAGACTCATTAAAATTCCATTATAACTTTGAATAGTCACAGAACGAATGACTAATCTTGTTCTATTGTTAAGTAAAGACTACTAGCCGTAATCTCAAACCTTCTAGTATGGGTACCATGCCTAGCCTTGACTTGAGATGCTAAGATACAGTTTACTGACTTTGCATTACTTAGAACAGGGGTCTCCAACCTTGGCAACTTTTAAGACTTGTGGACTTCAATTCCCAGAATTCCTCAGCCACCTTTGAATTCTGGGAGTTGAAGTCCACAAGTCTTAAAGTTACCAAGACTGGAGACCCCTGACTTAGAAAGTGCAACCCTTAGAGTTTTTTTTTTTTTCATTAAAAGAGACCATGAATAATTTTTAAGAGTTTGGTGATAGAGTGTAAATAGAATACAGAATAACAGAGTTGAAAGGAACCTTGGAGGTCTCCTAGTCTAACTCTCTGCCCTCTTAAAGATAAAGGTTCCCCTCTAAAATATGTGCTAGTCATCTCTGGCTCTAGGGGACGGTGCTCATCTCTGTTACAAAGCCGAAGACCCAGCGCTGTCCAAAAACATCTCTATGGTCATGTGGTCAGCATGACTAAATGCCGAAGGTGCACAGAACGCTGTTACCTTCCCACCAAAGTGGTCTCTATTTTTCTACTTTCAAACTGCTAAGTTGGCAGAAGCTAGGACAAGTAACAGGAGCTCCCTCCATTACGCGGTGCTAGGGATTTGAACCTCCGAACTGCCGACCTTTCTGATCGACAAGCTCAGCAACTGAGCCACCATGTCCCTTACCCTGCCCCTTTAGGAGACCCTAAGAACCCCTTCATCAGCCATCCTCCTTCATGATCATTATTCTTTAAAAAGATTAAAAAAAGCAGATGCCCTTATCAATGCTGTATGATCTTTGAACCTTCTAGGCCAGTGGTTCCCAAAGTGGGTGGTACTGCCCCCTGGGGGGCGGTGGGATGCCTTAGGGGGGCACTAAGAGGCAGCAGAGGGGTGCTGGAGGTGAGCAGCAGGGCACAATTCAGGGGTGAGAAAAAATCCCGCCGCCGCGTTCGAGGCAAGGCCCCGCAGGATCACCCCATTGCAAAAGGCTCAATGGGGTGATCCTGCGGGGCCTCACCCCGAACGCAGCTTTGCTCTCCTTTTCAAACATCCTGCCACCACCATGTTCGGGGCGAGGCCACGCAGGATCACCCCATTGATTTGCACGCTCTGGTGCAAAAGGCTCAATGGGGTGATCCTGCAGGGCCTCACCCCGAATGCAGCATTGGTTTTCAAACATCCCGCCGCCGTCGCATTCAGGGCGAGCCCCTTGCACCGGAGGCACCTGCCCAAGCAAATCCGAACGGAGCAGTGCACAAAGTCAATGGGGTGAGCCTGAGAGAGGGAAAGAGAGAGGAAAGAGAGAGAGAGAAGGAAGAAGAGAAAGTGAAAAGGGAAAGAAAGAAAAAGGGACAAAGAAAGAGGGGGATGGAAGGAAGGGACAGAAAGAAAAAGAAATAAAGAAGGAGGGAGGGAGGGAGGGAGGAGAAAGATAATGAGATATCTATTCTAGTCCAATCACCTGCTCCGGCAGGGTTAGAAGGGAGTGTGTGTGTGTGTGTTCTCCTTGTAATTTACCAATACATTTTGATTTTGCCTTCTTCAGAATTGGCATTGTAATACATTGGGGAAAAGTAATTTTTTAGGGTGGAGATCTGATCCAATGGATCCTGTTTAAAGCGTTAACAAAATGTGAGAGCTTCCTGATAGTCTTGGCCATGTTTCGTCCACAAAACCTTTAATTAATAGAAGCCAAAGATGTTTCAATGTGCTGGCAAAGATGCTGGCAAAGATGTTTCAATGTGGAAAAGGGCCTCTAAACTAGGCCTCATTTCAATCTGATGCATCAGGTCTCTCTCTTTCCCTCTCTCCCCCCTCCATCCCCCGCTTTCTTTGTCCCTTTTTCTTTAGAGTAGAGCAAAGCCAGAGGTCGGTAATTTTTGCTGCAAAGAATCACAAAAGCTTCTGGGTTGTGCACAAGAAGGGACACACATGTCAGTGCAATTCAGCAACATAAAATAAAGAAATACAAATAAAACAAGAATCGGCAAAGCATCTCTGATTAGATTTTATTCACTACTAGAATCTAACCAGAGATGCTTTGCCAATTCTAGTCCAATGACCTGCTCCAGCAGGGTTGGAAGGGAGTATGTGTATATGTGTGTGCATGGCTGTCAAAACTCCAAAAACAGGTCAAGTAGTTCTGGGGAGGCCAGTCATAAATTAGAACACTTGCTAAGCAAACGGCCATTAAGTGAGAACCACTTGTATTTGGTTTGCCAGTCACCAAACCACGCCCACCCAGTCACGTGACCAGCAAGCCACGCCCACCCAGTCACGTGATCAGCAAACCACACCCTCAAATTAGGCCACGCCCACAGAAATTTGAATCCCGCCCCTGGGTGGGGGGCATTGAGGATGAGTTTGTAGCACCAAAGGGGCGGTGGACTGAAAAAGTTTGGGAACCACAGTTCTAGGCAGTTTAACTTTTAACACCACCTTTTTTGTTTGAAAATGGAAACCTATCTCTCTATTCCCTTTCTGTTTTGATTCCTTTGAGCTCACTTGCAACCAAGCTCTTTTATTCACTATGATTGATGTTATAGTTCCATCCAATTGTGCACACGTTGTATGTTGCTTCCTTCCTAACAGGCTGATGCTTCCAAATTGTTTTTTTCATTGAATCCATTGGAAAGAGAAAGTTGCTTTTCTGTGTCATGTGCCTTCTATTTCCCAGTATTACTATCTTCTTTCAAATACCACCCATATCTTTTAGTCTTCCACAGAAATTTCACCCTCTCAGCTACTCATCCGCTCTTCATATCCTATGCAAATCTCAACATTTTTGCTTTGATTCATAGCAGAAATAATCCCAAGGATATTATGTGCTTATTCTTTTGGAAAGTTATTGCTGTTAATTAGCGTGTTTGCCTTTTCCCCCCCTGTCAACTAATTCTTGAGTCTCATAGATGGCTGCATTTCTTTAAACAACTTCCCCCAAACCCACCCCCGCCATCTTCTTACAATGGACACATTGGGGACCAACTCATTTGTCCAGTATGAGAGGATTATATGTTTTAAAACTATTTCTGCTCAATTAGCCAAAGCCATAATAATGCCTAAAATCAAATATGGAAGTAATAAAGCTTCAGCGTGTGAATTTTTGCAACTTTACTTTAACAGCTAGGAGCAGTATTCTTAGACACTTTCATAATGAGCAAATCATTAAGTAACTCTCTTTGTTTCAAATGCAAGTAACAGGGCACACTATGGATTACTTTCAGTGTGATATTAAATGGTGGCTAAGCAGTTACAAAAAGAAGCTAGCTAATCCTCACTTGTGTTTCTTTCTCCCAGAAACAAGGAAAGTTTTGCTTTGATTAACCATGATTTGGCCACTGTTCTTCAGACTTGGTGAAGTGCTTCGTGGTAATCATAATCACAAGAATTCAGTTTAAAATTGCATTTCACGCAACTGGGCTGGTTCCATTACCTTGAGTTACAGTTAGGCATAAAATTCATTATTTGTTTTCAGGCCTTCATTCAAACTATTTTAAAAAATAAATTTAATTTTGGACAGAATTGCGAACTAAAAAGTGTTGTCAAGAATCTCCTTCGATTTTACACAGGGCTAATAGACTTCCTTAGATTTCTTTTTAAAGAATTGAATGGCTGTAGTCCATAGCTTACGTGCAGATGTGTCCATCACCAGTCCAGAAAAGATAATCTGGGGTTTCAAAGTGTCTGTTTGAGGAGAACAGCTGGAGAGGGTGGGAAGGATCAACCTCACCAGTCTTTCTTTTGGTCAGTTGGTATTATGTGATTGGTCTCACTTACTGAGTCATCTCTTTTACAAATGGGCAAACTTCCCTAGCTTTCTGGGTAACTATGATATTATCTCAACATTAAAATGTGTCTTTTTATTTGGAATGGTTGTGTACTACTAGTCTAAACTGTGGCTAATCTAAAAAGAGTTGGGAGGAACTTCTGTTGACTGGGTACCAAGACAAATAACATTTGATTGTGAGGGTGGGTAATTTTTTTCCCCAATGTTTGCCTTTCTTGATAAAAAGAAAATATATACAACCGAATAGGATACTTGACATTTAAGATAAATTAGAAATAGTGCACGATCAGCACAAATCATTCTGCTTTTCTTAGGCCAGGAGAGAAAAGGAACACCTGTATATTTTGGGAGCACCTGAATCCTTCTAGCCTTTTTCTTTTGCCCTTTGAAGGTATGCAGTGAGGTGAAATGTGGCGGGCTTTCCCTATTAACATGAGGAAGTTGAAGAACGAAGGAGTGGGATAAAAGTGTCCACCTCATTTCTCTTTGTTTCTTCTTTGAAAAATTGCTAGAAGAAAACAGGAGGTGTTTATGCCAGATAAACAGTAGCACTTCTTTGGTTTTGTTTCGTCAAGCAAAAGCTGACAACATGTTATGTGTCTAGGCCAGGGGTAGGGAACTATGGCCCTTTCATGACTTGTGGACTTCAATTCCCATCAGCAGAAATCATGCTGACTCAGGAATTCTGGGAGTTGAAGTCCACAAGACTTCATAAAAGAGCCATAGTTACTCACCTCTGATCTAAGCGAAAAATTGGGAATTGCTCCTCAGAATACCATGCACATTTACCTGAGTGGATTCTCTTGCCTTGGCAGTTGTTGCGAAGCTCTTTGGTCAACAACAGGACACAAGCCAAAGTAGCAGAAGAACTGGGCATGCAGGAGTTTGCCATTACTAACGATAAGACCAAACGGCCTGTTGCACTGCGAACAAAAACATTAGCTGATCTTTTGGAATGTAAGTACTAATGCTGTTAATTCATTTTCCTTCTCTAGTGGTTTGATAGCTAAATAAAGTTGGGTGATACAGCAACAGTTAAAGGCAAGAACCAGACCAAAGAACCTCTAAGGTGCTGGCTTAAAGAAAGTTTGTTTATATCAGGGGTCTTCAAACTTGACAGCTTCAAGACTTGTGGACTTCCACTCCCAGAATTCCTCCTCCAGTCATGTTAACTCAGGAATTCTGGGAGTGGAAGTCCACAAGTCTTAAACTTGCCAAGTGTGAAGACCCTTGGTTTATATGATAGATGTGTTACCACTAGCTGCCATCCTGAGGATCTAAAATGTGTACATCTGTATAATTTACTTTAGAAAATGAATTGCTTTTCATTGTTACGCTTATTCTTAGATACCCCCAACTAAAGAAACAAAGGAAAAAAATTGACTTCCTTCTTTTATTTGAAATATAATCAATTTATAATTTCCTAAGTAGCATTGTTTCCAAAGGCACTGTGATGAAAACCCACATTGTAAATGAAACATCACCTTTTTCTTAATTTTAAGTTTGTTTGACTTTTTTTTTAAGTTGTTCTTCCTGTGCAAGAGAAGTGGCAATAAATATCAGGCCCAAAAGGTAATCTTTATCCAGAGCATTTTAATATATTTTGTGAGTTGAGCGGGCCCAGTGTCTCTTGCCAGATCCTTTTAGTAAATGGAAGTAGTTCACAAAGAATCATAATTTATGGCCAAGCGATGAGAGTGTGTGCTTTGCTGTGATTTATTTCTAAAAACTTACAGTCTCCTGGCTAAACAATGAGTTTTGAAGAGCTGTCTCTTTGTCTAGTTTTTCAGAATTGCTTCTTAATTAATTTGTGTAGATCTTGGATTTTTCATTGGTTCAGTTTTCAGTTTTTGTTAAAGAAGAAAGGCTATACTGCAATATAGAACGATGATGTGTTTTCTCAGTGACCTTGAATTAACCCAGCTGCCTCAAACACAGTTCTGAAACAGAACCGGGCAGGAAGGTGAAACTTTCCTTAGTAGAAACTGGGTAGATGGGTAGACTATTGTGAAAAGAGTAGGTAAGTATCCCCTGTTAGCGTATTAGGAACAAAAGTGGAAGAATCTTTGATTGGGATTGGAAATATTTTTCTTGGCCTGATACTTGACCTGATATGTCAAGATGGCAACCTGATTGAAAATTAAGTCAAAACACATCCTGAGAGTACAAGGAGGGGGAAGGCCAATTTGGGAGAAATTTGTTTTTCTCAAGTATAAAACAGCCTCAGCTGCAAGGGGGAAAAAAGTATAAGAGTAAAATAGCCTTAGCTGCAAGAAAAAGTCATAGTCTAATATTGAATATTGAAACATTGCAAAGTTTAGCGGCTGTGGGCTTCCGGTTTGACCTTCTTCAGCGACAGACCGAACCTCATCTCTGCAAGGCTTCGATGCGTGCTCGCCTCTGGAGCGCCCCAAGCCGGCTGGCTTCGGGGCTAAGCCTCCCCGTAGAGGTGGTGACGAGGGGGAAGACTGCCTGCAGGGTTGAGGAGAGCCTCATCTCTCCTCCCCAGCTAGCCATTACTCCCTTTCCCGAAGGCAGTTGCAGCGGTGGTCAGAAATGGCTACCACAAAGAAGAACTCTACTGGAAAAGAATGTGCATGAGGAAGATAAGAGGAGAAAGTTTTGGTTGACCAGGTCAAACAGTTTTAAAAGCAACAAATAAGGTACCCTGGAATTGAAACTATTAAAAAACAATAACATTGTTCCCTAAGAAGATTTTTAAGCTGCAAAGGAGAGAGAAAAGGAAAAAGATTTGGTTTTTTTTCTCCTTTTCCTATACTGACAGCTAAGAGACTTAAGCAAGAAATTGGAAAAAAATCCACTTTGACATCAATAGGCATTTAATGCTGAAAATAAAAATTCAAAGGGATAATAAAGATTTCTGGATAATTAAAAGCTTTTGAAAACAGGAGAGAGGAAGAATAAAAGGGCAGGATCTGGAAGGGAGGAGACTGCCTGGAATTAAAAAAGAACTTATAGCAAAATCTCAACAAGACTTCCAAAAGATACATTCTAACTGAAATATCGCAACAAAAACCCCAGGAAGAGAAAGTCGAAAAAGAAATAAGAAGATATAACTTAGGACTATCTGGATTACTTGATGATTTCTGGATTCTTGGTTATTGTTTTGAATGACTAAAATCAATCGGGTGGTTGTTTAAAACTGTTTAAAATGGCTCCACTTTTAGAAGAACTGAAAATGGAACTTAAAAAGTACAAAGAAGATACACAAGAAGGGAGAAGTTCTTTTGGCTTCGTATTTCAGATTTTAGAAATGGAGATTGGGAATTATGAGAAACAACAAGAAATGCCTGCAGAACAAGAAGATTGCGACAAAGAAGAAGCCATCTTTAATTGAACAAGTAATCTTAGATGGGGGAAAAAAAGGAAAGGGGGGAAAGAGAATGGAAAGTTTAAGATTGGGAAGAACAACTCCTCCCCAAAAATAGAGTGAAAAATAAGTATAAAATCAGAAAGCAACAGAAGAGGGAAATGCAGAAGAGAGAATTAGAAATAGAGAGAGACAAGGGGATAAAAAGAGGAAGGAGAAGATGAGAGGGAAGAAAGAAAGGAAAAGAAGTCATAAAGGACAGAAATAAAATACAGAGAAACGGCCTATTTAGAGATAATGGGTGAAAATTTAATGGAAAAAGGGATTCTTCAAAGGTACATAAGATAGTATGGTTATATTAAAAACAAATAATTTTAGAAAATATGAAACAATGTATGATTAAAATGTCTGATAAAATAGCTATCGTAATTCAATGGAATGCTTGTCAATAAATAAATGTAATAAAAGGTATATTTAATGATTTATAAAACATATGTGAAGAGAAATAAGGGAAAAATTAATTATGGAGATTATATGTGTTTTTAAGAAAGTATGATATTTAATTGAAAAGAAGTGTTAAAGATGTTAAGATTTTAATGATTATTAATGATAGAACTGAACTGGAACGGAATGAGGGTTTATAATTACATATATTTACAATCTTTCTTTTTTAAAAAAAAAGAATATAGTGTGTATTATAAGAATGTACCAAGCAGAATTCGATTGGAAGTTATGTATTATATTGAAGGTCATAACCTTAAGGTATATATTGAAATTTAAATAAGAGTTGAATGGATGTAATTAAAAGATATAAAGGTATCATACTCCAATTAGTAACTACAGGAGAAAACTTGTTTAATGAGAAAAGATAATATGAAATTGAAACAGAACAGACAAAAGTATAAATATAATGATTTGAATTGAGATGAGATAATCAAATTAAAATCGAGAAAATCAAAAGAGGGGAAAAACTATATAGAAAATGTAAAATAGTATAAGATATGGAATAGAATACAAAAAGGAGCATGAAATTGAGTTTTGTGTCTGTATAAAGAAGTTCAACCCGGGACCATGCTATTTTCAAAAAAATATGTTTTACTTGTATTTTGTATGTGTGAAAACCCAAATAAAACTTTATTTTTTTTAAAAAAAAAGCCTCAGCTGCAAGGGGGGGGGGGAGTATAAGAGTAAAACAGCCTCAGCTGCAAGAAGAAGCCATAGTCTAATATTGAAACATTGCAAAGTTTAGCAGGATATTTGTTTGCTATCCCTCCCCCCCCCCCCCCCCAACCCAAATCTATTAAACAGTCGACTCTGATAGATCTTCAGTGGAACTCACATTTTAAGAATTTGAATTCCCACTCCTCACCCAAAAAAGGAAAGTATTCGTAGTGAACCAATAACACAACAACGTAATCTGGTTTTTTCCCAATGTAGTGCTTTCTTAAAAGCACTTGGACTATAATTCCTAGAATTAATCAATTACTTGTAGTTCCAAACTGTGCAAAGGACACTAGTCATCTCCATTAAAATACATGGACTAAAATACTGACTGAAAATAATTTGATCAGATCGAGTATTTTTTTAAAACCTTGGTAACTTTAAGAAGTTTAGATGTCTACTACCATCATTTGTCAAATTTGAAAAACACTGATTTAGACCAAGGCCATTACACACACTTCCATCTCCTGTGTTTCTCCCAGCCAACCTTAGATGGAGATTGTAGCACTGTTCTAACAGAATGGGAAAGAAAACCCAGAGTATAGCCCTTGTACCTGTAATCCTTAGAGGCATTCCCCTGCACACACTTCTTTCCTGTATAGATATGGAAAGTGCTAAAAGCACAAGCTTTCCTACAGCTCCCTGCACAAATCTTGGTGTGTGTGAAAGACACAAGTTGTTTCCTTGCTGTTTATTTCTGAGAAAACATTTAGTAAATCAAGTATCTGCTCTTGCTTTTCATTTTATTGTTACCTCTTTGCTCATGTCTTTCATATATCTTTTGTGGATAGTGTGAACTTTAATATCCCTGCAATATTTTTCCCCTCCTCTCAGACTTTCCTGCTTCCCAAGATGGTAAAAATACCTTTCACCTAGTTATGTGTGTTTTTGATGTCTTAATATATACCATCGCACGTCACCATTGACTTGGAATATTTGCAACAGATTGTCTAGGAATATTAACGTGTTTTTGAAAGAAAATAATATTTGCTAATGTTTGGTTATTCCTTCTTCCTCAGCCTTTATCGCTGCTCTGTACATAGATAAAGATCTTGAATATGTCCACACCTTCATGAACGTCTGCTTTTTCCCACGATTGAAAGTAAGTCTCAGAGCGATTGTTATGTGTTACACAGCCAAGAAGCTGACTTTGCTACGGAGTCCCAGCTGAACCAAGATTTTTGCTGTCTGTGTCCTGAGTAATAATACAGGTTTTAAACCTCTGTTCTCTCACGTTTGTGGCTTAGATACAGATAGTGTCTTGATTAGTGCAGTTAATGAAACCCATGAAGAGATCACATTATTTGAATTTGTACTATTCAAAGTGATATTTCCCTGGAAAATAGGGTAATTGCTTCCAGCTCAATGGAAATAAGAGAATTTTTTATACATAATTTTTTAATATTTTATTAATGAAATACTGAACAACATTAAAAGTGGATAAACCTATATCCAGAGCGTAATTACTATCTCCTGTATTCCGTCTTCAAAATGAGCCTCTTTGTTTTACGCTTCCCTTGAAGAAAACCTTCTTTTGCTCCATTTTCTACAAACTAAAACATCTACAACCCCAACATCTGCAACCTTAACTGTACATACACTAGTGTCGATTGCAGTTACATTAGTCTTGGTTAATTGGATTTTGGCTTATATTAAACATGACCTGGTATCAATTTATCAATCATACTAAATCAAATTCTGCATTATTTAAACACACACAAATTGCAACCCTACCTATATTAAGAGAAAAATATATTTGAAAAGGCTCTTTTTGTTTGGAATCCTAATCCCTATTTTTTTTTCCTGTGAACAATTGTTATTCCTTCGTCTTGTTTTTTTTTTTTGGTCCATTTTAGGAATTCATCCTAAATCAGGATTGGAATGATCCAAAATCTCAACTCCAGCAATGCTGTTTAACTCTTAGAACAGAAGGGAAGGAGCCAGACATTCCTCTGTATAAGTAAGGAGATTGATTTGTATACATGCATTGTCACTTTGTGACTCCTTTTTTTTAAAATTCCCACATGACTGGAATATCACACACTTCATTCAAAGAAGGAATTAGTTGCTCTGATTAAATGAAAGTATATTGTTGCACTTTGGATCTCAAATTCAGTTTAAAGCATTGGAGACGTAGTCACGAAGGTTTGTGCATGTGACAATGTGATGGCTGTAAGTGCAGTAGAACATTGATAGTCTTGGGTACATTCAGTTTTCCCAAATTCAGTTCTCACTTTGTCCACTAGAATCGCATTGGTCATGCTATTACTTCTTAAGCTCACCCAATTGCTTCTGCAGATGCAGCACTCATTGCCCAAATTACTTTTCCTTTATGATGGAAATGCTATGAGAGGCACTTAGATTTATATGCCACTTCATAGCACTTTACAGCCCTCTCTAAGTGGTTTACAAAGTCAGCATATTGTCCCCGACAATCTGGGTCCTCGTTTTACTGAGCTTGGAAGGATGGAGGATTGAGTCAATCTTGAGAATCGAATTCCTGGCAGTGGGCAGTGAGTTGGCTTGCAATACTGCATTCTAACCACTGCACTACCATGTCTCAAGGATATATATACAGTGTAGTGATAAGTAGTGAGGCCAACTCTTTGCCCACTGCCAGAAATTTGATCCTGACCAGCTGGTTGACTCAACTCTCCATCCTTCTGAGGTTAGTAAAATGAGGATCCAGCTAACTTCAGACATGATAGGGACAGACTTTTGTTGTTGTTGTTGTTGAACAAAATGGTTGCTGTTAGAACAGGTAGTACCAGTTTAACATATGTACGGGGGGAAAGGCTGCAGAAAATGTTGAGATGTTTCATCATTTAAGATTATATTTTTGGATCAAGGGCAAAATATTAAGGATATATTCCATCCTGTTCAAATAAGAAGTGAGGATGTGGTGAAGGATAAGGTAAATGACTATAAGATTGAAGTATGAAATCATTCTAAAATATATGATGCAGTTGATGTTAACCACATAACTATGTATATAAAGTAGAAATTATAGTAGAAAGAGAAGCAATTATTGATTGACAGAGGAAAATTCTCTATTAAGCGAACATAAATATTCACTAATGAAATGATGGCATTGTTTCATAAAATAATCTGTCAGGGTCCATCCTTGTGCTGTGACTTTTGTTAAAATAGTTGCATTTCTGTTCAGATGTATTAGAGAGAATGTTTTCAGAACTGTTTTTGTTTGTTTGTTTGTTTGTTTGTGGTTTAGAACACTGCAAACAGTTGGACCTTCTCATGCTAGGACATACACCGTGGCTGTTTATTTCAAAGGCGAGAGAATAGGTTGTGGGAAGGGACCAAGGTATGTAAAATGTTTGCATAATTTATATATATTCTATATGTTTGCCTGCCTGCCTGCCTGCCTCCCTATCTATAATCTGTCTGCTGGCCTGCCGGCCTACTTACCTACCTACCTACTTACCTACATCTATCTATCTATCTATCTATCTATCTATCTATCTATCTATCTATCTATCTAATCAAAGTGGATAAGGAGAGCTAAATGACATTCACTGACGATTTAATTGGACTCCTAAAAAAGTGAATTTTAGAAAACTTCTCCCTTTTCTGCACCTTAACCTGGGATCGAGACAATCTAAGATTCACAGGCACATTAATTCTCAATGTCAAGTATCCAAGGTGAGAAAGGAGAAGTATGCCTATTAGTGGCATAAAGCAACAGCTTGACACAATACTGAGTTTTAATTATTGTTGGAGAACCTTTTCAGTTTGTAAAATATTCTTTCCAGTGACTTTGCTTAATGCCAGAAGGTCAAGAGATAATGTGCCAGTCACTACTCTTTATTCCAACAAATATTTTAGTGCATTATTAACTTTTTTAAAAAAAAAAAAAAGTCCAAGCTCCATTTTTTTTAATCTCTTGAAATTGTGTTTGGGGACATATTAAAAAGAATGATTGTTAGGGAGAAAAAGAACCTTCATTAGGGAGAAGTAGGACAGAAGACAGTGTCCAGTGCAGAGGTGGTATTTAGCAGGTTCTGACCAGTTCTGGAGAACTGGTAGCAGAAATTTTGAGTTGTTTAGAGAACCGGCAAATACTACCTCTGACTGGCCCCACCCCCATCTATTTCCTGCCTCCCGAGTCCCAGCTGATCGGCTGGACTTCTTTTGTTGCCCTGCACAGGAGAACGGAACTAGAAAGCAGGTGAATGGGATGGAGAAGGAATGGAAATTTTACAGTATCCTTCCCCTGCCACGCCCACCAAGCCACGTCCACAGAACCTGTAGTAAAAAAAATTGATCCTATCACTGGTCCAGTGAGGGAGTAATATATGGAAAATTGGAGAAGAGTCACTCTGTTTAATGCTTTAATGCTTGGAAAGATACTCTAATATCCACAAGTTCTTTTCAAAGAATGCAGCAAATTGATAAGCTGGAACTGGGTGCATGGTCGTGGTTTACTTTTAGCACACTGTTGCCTCCTGCAGCTTGGTGTCAAGCCCAGCTAAACCTGGACTCAGTGGCAGCTCAGTCTAACCTGCAAACCGATAAGTATCTTCCAACCTGATTGTCCATTTTATGGAAAAATGATTTCAGTAAGATGAATGGAAAAAAATATCTTAAAATTCTCTGCACAGTAAATGCCAAGTGCTATCTGCAGAATAAATAACATTTAAAGGGTTTTTTTCACTTTTCCTCGACTTGACACAAAGCATACTAATCTTAAGAATAACATTAAAACAGCTCCTAATAAAATAAGGTGGTTTGGGAAGAAATGGAGAATCCAGTCCATTTTTTGCTGCTGGAGATGGGGGCTTGTTTGTTTGTTTGCTTAATTGACTTTTAATTGCTTTGTTCAAACAAATCACCAAAGAATTTTGAAAGGGGAATGTTTAACACTATGGATTCTTTGTTTTTAAAATAACTCTCTGCAAAGTCGTAATGTACATGTAGTGGGGGGGTTGGCAGACTGGAAGAGTTTTTTTATGGTAACAACTGCCAGTAATTATTTGAAAAATTAGTTACTGCACAGCAGTTCTGGGAAGCTGTAACTTGCTTCTGAATTACATTTGTCATAATTTATTTATTTATTTTTGCAGCATTCAGCAAGCAGAGATGTGTGCCGCAATGGATGCACTGGAAAAATGTAAGTGGGTTTCTTGGAAATTACTAGAGTAATTCTGGGGAGGAGTTGTAAGCATTGTGTCAGCGTCCCAACTAACCAGCTCCAAACCAATAAACTCCGAGACAGGCATTTCTTCCAAGTTCCATTTTATTAGAGTTGTCATATTGGCACATCTGGGAAAACCCGAATTTGAGAGTTCCGGGTTTTCCCTTCCCAATAGAAATTCAAAGATCCATCCCTTGCACTCACCAGCACATCACATGGTCCAATCAAACATCGTCCCAACTGGAGACATTCCTCCAGACACTCCTCTCCAGGTGCCTGGGTGACATGTCCTTGATTTTATAAGAAAGAATATTGTTGAGTCTAATCTTCTACCTCTCTGTGAAATCCCCCCTCCCAAATTCCCAGGCACTAAATGGGGCAGCCTCAAAGCTTCTAAGTAAAATATGGCTTCCAAGGCTGACACATTATGTGCAACAAAGGGAAAATACAGATTAAAGTGAACAAGTGAATATGTTGCCCCAGCACTGTTTACTGTTATCATTCCTGTTAGTAAAATAATGTATTGACTAGTGAACAAACTGTTTTATGTTTTATTATCTCTGTGGTTACGACTAATGCTGAACTTCATGTTGGTTTTTAGGCACGGGTCTGCCAGTAGGCATTGACCTCCAGGCTCATGGATTTTCTCTATTCACCTGTATAGCATTCACATGATATAGGTAGTCCCCAGCATACAACCACAATTGAGCCCAAAATGTCTGTTCCTAAGTGAGTTTTAAGCGAGCTTTGTCCCATTTTTACAGACTTTCTTGCTGAACTTGTTAAGTGAATCACTGCAGTTGTTGTGTTAGCAACATGATTGTTAAGTGAACCAGACTTCCTCATTGACTCGGCTTGTCAGACGGTCGCAAAAGGTGATCACATGACCCCGGGATGCTGCAACCTATCGTAGATATGAGCCAGTTGCCAAGCATCTCAATTTTGATCACATGACCCTGGGCAATGGTTGTGCAAAAAACAGTCAGAGGTCGTTTTTTTCAGTGCTGTTATAATTTTGAACGGTCACCTAACGAAGTTGTTGTAAGTTGAAGACTTCCTTTACAGATTCCTGTTTTCATAACAGGTTGGGGATTTGATTGCCTGTTACTCAGATTGAGTTCCTCCTTCAAGATAGTTCAAAGCAAAAGCAAAATCATGAATGCTTCCTTGATTTTAAGATTACAGAGAAATAATCCTGCAAATCTGAAAGCACTTCTCCCCTCCCTTCCTTCCTCCCCTCCCTTCCTTCCTTCCCTCCCTCCCTCCTTCCCTCCTCCCTCCCTTCCTCCTTCCTTCCTTAATTCCTTCCTTCTCAGAGAACAAGGGGGAGTCCCTCCTGAGACACGGGGAGAACTTTCTCCTCCCCGTTCGTCTGATCGTTGTCTAAAGCTGTGGCTCCCTTCCTGTCTCTCAGGGCCATTTGCACACAGCCTTTTTACAGATTGCCCAACATTCGTGATCATTTATCACAGAGTTGAGCAGTCACTTGGATCTCATGCACCACTGCCCCAGGCAGCTATCATGGAAACTTGCTTGAAAAAGGAAGACGAGCAAACCATCTTGCTTTGGAAGATGGGGATCATTGTTGGCTTCAGCCTGAGGGAGCCATTGATGTTGACATGGGCTACATACAGTACATGCTGTGCCTACACACAGAATGAGGGTGTTGTGGGGAAAAACCAAAGACTCCCTTTCTAAATAAAATCCTTTCCCCCTGTTGAGAAATGTCAACTTGCAGGAGACGAGCCGTTTGAAGTGGGCTTGTATTTTGGTGAAAGCTGAGATAGGGGGGGAAATATTTGCTTGCTTGCTATTCTGCACAACTTTTTATGTCTAGCTTTCTCTCCTTATCATCATAATCCCGTGGAAGCATTCATATTTCAGATCCAATAGTCAGGGACTCAGTCAAGTAAAGTACAAGAGCTCTCTGGCCTGGGTCCAGCAAAGCACTTAAGCCCATGCTTAAATTCAGGCCTGCAAGTATTCTTCTGACATGGATGATCTACGTACAGTGATTAAAATAAAGTCGCTATTTTGTGAGATGCGGGCATTGTGCTCACCTTGTATAGCAAAACTCACAAGCTACTGCCAAATGGGAACCTAAATCTTTGTATTACAACTCTGCGTAACTCTCCATCTTATTGAAACCTCTGACAGAGGTTGCCTGCCTTTATTTATTGAAGCAGAGCTTTATCTAGTGGAGCTGAGCTTGTCCACTTCCATCAGCCAGCTTGTAATCTTTGGCCCACATTTTAAAGGCTTGGCTTTTCTTTCATTGAATATGTGCTTCTGAGAGATTTTCATTTTTACATTTGTTCTCTGTTAATCATTTGCTTCCTGGTATGAATGTGGAAGATATGGAGACCTGGGACGGAACCTTTAAATCATGCTACAGTTTTTTTTCCCTGTAGCAGTGTTTCTCATCCTTGGCCATTTGAATAAGATGCATGGACTTTAATTCCCAGAATTCCCTAGCCAGCATGCTAGGTACGCAAAGTTGAAAAACAATGACCTATAACATAGGTACAAAATCCGAAATCTCTGAGCCAAAGTCTTGTGACCAGAAGTCCCCAAACCTTCTGGCTTCTGGGCCCAGTTTTGGAAGAAGAATGATCTTCCATGGACCAACAGCATGGGGGATGGTTTCGTGCAAGCAACCTACATCTTGCACATACTTGCGTAGCCAACAGGCCACGGATCAGTACCAATCCGTGGACCCAGGGTTGAGGATCCCTATTGTAGGCTGATCCTGGAGCCCCCTTAAAAAGCTATTCCTAACAGTGGGCATTTTTCAATGTAAAGGAATTTAGGGTTGACTTTGAGGAAGGAAGGAAGAAGCCATTTAGGAGGGACCTGGAGAAGAGATTACACAATCCGGAGATTGAAGCAAATGAAAGAAACTCACAGTAACCCTGCCTTGATTTTCTTCTATATGTTGGGAAAGATATATGGACAAGCTTCTGAGATTCTATTATTTATACCCTCCAACAATACAGTGGCAATCCTGGAATCACTGCAATGCTAGTTTCTTGACCTGGCCTACCTCCAAGGGTAGGCCAGGTAAAGAAATCAAAGGGCAATAATACGAACTAATAATAAATATGCATGAAGTCACATCATCTAATTTGAGCAGGGTCTCTTAAAGGCCAAAGGCAGGGCCCAGCCAAAAAAAGATTGCACACTTCTTGTCTTTAATTTAGCTCATATATTTTCAAAGCCAGATCAGGGATTCTCATGACAAACAAGTTTTTTATGTTAGCTGGCAAGGTAAATCTGCACTTATATTCTTAGTTAGCATGTGTATGTCTGAATCATATTAAACAATAGAGAAATGTTGAAGAGTGATCAAGGTTTTTAAGTGATTCTGGAGAAAATTCATAAGAAAAGACCTCTCCAAATTTTGCCTTCCATTGTAAACCAGTTGGCCAAAACGCCTTCTTTTTTTGCACATCCACTTTTAAGACTTCTGACACTTCACCACTGGGAGATGTCTGTCCCTCAGGCATGGTTTCTCTCACCTGTTTCAGAGAAGTGATGTACTTAATAAGATACTGTTGAGTTCAAAAAACCGTCAAAGCTCTGCTTTCTGTAGCTCTTCCTTCACCTTTTGCTTTCAGCTGCATTTCCCAAGTGGTGGTGCTGTGTCAAATCTCCTGTTCCCAAGGACATCAGCTGTTTTGGCATCAGCGCAAGCTCATCTATCACACATGGCAATTTGTTCTCTGGCACAAAATTCAACCCAGGCAACACTTTCCACGTTGACCTTCCATCTGGCATCACCATTGTTGAAGTGTTTATACGCCTTATTTTGCACCGCTTCTCCTGGGTTGTGTTAACTGATTTTGGCTTCTAGATTGGGTACTTTGGTCTTTAGGAGGTTAATGGCTTCTCTGTTTCTGTTTCTCACACACACATGTCTTTTACAGTAGTAATGGAGGAAAATTGGCTTGATTAGCTCCAGATGGGCCTCTTCTCATCTTTGATGAAGAGTGATAGGATTTTTCAGGACTTCTCAGCATAATCCATTAATAATCTAAGCTTTATGGCAGAATTGTATCATCATAATAAGTTTCTTTCCAGCCCTCCTGCTGACATGTTTACAGTAGAAGCTTACTGAACAAGTATTTTGTGGAACATGAGGATCACTCATCTTATGTTCCTAATGTAATCTCTTAAGTAATCATCAACTCAAACGGATCTCTATGGAAACTTTCATAAAACAGAAAATACAGTTAAATACCCCCATAGCTTTGTGATGGCATCTCAATCGTATCCCAATATATACTATGACACTGTGACTTATCTTATTCCATTTAAATCATCCTCTGATTGCTAACAAATCTGATAAATCTTATTCACATAAATTTTATTCACATAAATCAGTAGACTACTTCAAAGTAAATAGGGGGTTACAACCAAACCAATATGTGCAACGAGTACTCTTTATTATCCTGACTTGGTAATACAATAATAACAGCTGGATGTTATATTTGATGGTGGTAGGATCATGTCATTGGCTGGGTTTTATTGATATATATTTCTTCTTGTTTCAGATAATTTTCCTCAGATGGCCCATCAAAAACGGTTCATTGAACGGAAGTACCGACAAGAGCTTAAAGAAATGAGGTGGGAACGAGAACATCAAGAAAAAGATCTGGATGAAACAGAAGACATGAGAAAATAAGGGGGAAGGAAACTGTAGTATGTTTGCTTCATTTTGACCATGGCCTATAAAAAAAACCCATCCTGGTTTCATGAAACTAAATGAAATCATGTTTGCTTTTGTGTGTGTTTTTTTATTAATACGTTTTATCTCCATTTTAAGAGGCAAAGCTGTATTCGTAAAATTTAAAAATGATTTTTTTTTTTGAAGAACATATGCTTTCTGAAGAATTTTGTGTCCCCAGACTCGGTTTGTGAACAATAAAATGTTTTATTTCAAAAAATATGTTCTAAAAATAAGAAAAATATAGTGTTGTTCATATTGTTGTGTCATATGAAATGATAAGGTACTAAACAGAATGCTATTTTCTGCTACGTTCTGCTGGTGCCGCACTACAGTTAAGAAGATGAACTCAAGGCACAAATGACCAGGCTCAAATTATCCTATTTCAGACACATTATGCAAAGACCCACTTCTTTGGAGAAAGCTCTAACACTGGGAAAAGTGGGCAGAAAGAGAAAAGTAGGAAAACTAGCAGAGAGGAGAGGCTTCAATTAAAGTGGCAATGGGTGCACCTCAAGGACCAACTTAAGGAGAAATTGTCATGGGGAAATGCAGTCACTAAGATTTGACAGTGATATGATGGCAAATGTGTGTGTGTGTGTGTGTATTATGTTTGTCTTGGAAACATCTTCACAGATGCTAACCCTAACTGTAAAACTTGATCAGTTATCAGTTTTACAGAAGGGTTGCTTATGAAGGGTACATAACAGAGGTGGTATTCAGCAGGTTCCGACCAGTTCTGGAGAACCGGTGGCGGCAATTTTGAGTAGTTCAGAGAACCGGCAAATACCACCTCTGACTGGAGATTTTACAGTATCCTTTCCCTGCCGTGCCACCAAGCCACACCCACAGAAGTGGTAGTAAAAAAATTTGAATCCCACCATTGGTACATAAGTAATCAAATAACAATCATCATTCACCCAGCTGACCAGGGCCATTTAATTCAGGTTCCCCTTCCACCATGATGCCTTTTTCAGACATGGTATTCAGCAGTTTCTGACCAATTCTGGCGAACCAGTAGCAGAAATTTTTGAGTAGTTCGGAGAACCGGCCAATACCACCTCTGACTGGAAATTTTACAGTATCCTTCCCCTGCCACGTCCACCAAGCAGGGGGTGGGATTCTACTAGTTCGCACCTATTCGCTAGAACCAGTGGTTAATATTCTAAGCAGTTCAGAGAACTGGTTGTTAGAAGAAATTACTGACCTAATCCTGTAAGGAAGGCGGGAAGGAAACATTCTGGTGTTGCTTACAGAAACTGCCTCTCTGTTAACCCTTATTACATTCTTGGCAGGACTAGACTTCCTGTCTCAGGAACTTCTCGAGTTCCCCCCCCCCCTCCTTTGCTGGTACTTTGCTTGTGTGGAGTGACCATTCAAAGTTACAATGGCACTGAAAAAAGTGACTTTTTTCACACTTACGACTGTTGCAGCATCCCCACAGTCATGAGAGGCCAAGCGAGGAGATGCATGTCTTGGTGTGATGATATTGAGTTGGCCACACCCAGCCATTAACATGATCACCAAGCCATGTCCACCCAGTCATATGACCACCACCTAAGCCACGCCCACATAACCGGTTGTTAAAAAATTTGAATCCCACCCCTGCCACCAAGCCACACCTACAGAACTGGTAGTAATCCCACCACTGGCCATTCTCCTCCATTTTTTGGCAGTTGGGAAATCCAGATGTCTTGTCATCCTTCAAGGTGTCACATTTTGCCTCAGTTTACTGATCTGATTTTAGAACTAGATTATATATTTATTTTGTGTCCTGGTCTTTGAAAGCTTTTTTGGAAGATGTTCACCACACAAAAACAATATTTGCATTTATTGTTATTTCTTGTCAGTGATAATTTATTACACTTAAAAAAAAGTTAACATAGCTTGTTAAATGATGTGAGGAAAGTGATCTTTCTTAATCTTCCCAATTTTTGTTTTCGGTTACTATTAAAAGCATCGGATATTTATTTTTTAAAGAATCAGTTATGCAATTTTTGCAATGATGGTGCATATTATAGTATGTATATATTTATTACACACATACAGTATGTGTGTGTATACATATGTATGCACACATACATATACAAAAGTGTGTCTGGAAATATAAGCAGCTATGAAATTCTGTGATTAAACAAAATCAAAACCATAACAATAGCATGAGGGAAATACTTAGGGCTAGGTACTATTCTGAAATTTATCATTCACATTAATATTAGAAACTATGTTTTTAATATAGGCCTGTTTTTATATTGTCCAGTATTTTTTTAAAAACCAATATCATAAATCTGCAAATTCCATAAATAATTTAAATTGCATCAAAAATAATTTCATTTTCTAGCAATCAGTAGCTGTTCTTTTTTAATACTATATGAGGTAGGTGTCCAAAATAATTTAGTAAATACAATCAACCAATAATAATAACAATAAACTATTTTAAATGCTCAAAAATCACTATCAATAATTTTAATAATCAGTATATTTTTACATTTTGCTGGTACATAAAGATTTTAATATGGAAGTTTTACTTTTAAAGATAGATATCCACTGCTCAAAAAAATAAAGGGAACACTTAAAAAACACAATGTAACTCCAAGTCAATCACACTTCTGTGAAATCAAACTGTCCACTTAGGTAGCAACACTGACAATCAATTTCACATGCTGTTGTGCAAATGGAATAGACAACAGGTGGAAAGCATAGGCAGTTAGCAAGACATGCCCAATAAAGGAGTGGTTCTGCAGGTGGTGACCACAGACCACTTCTCAGTTCCTATGCTTTCTGGCTGATGGTTTGGTCACTTTTGAATGCTGGCGGTGCTTTCACTCTAGTGGTAGCATGAGACGGAGTCTACAACCCACACAAGTGGCTCAGGTAGTGCAGCTCATCCAGGATGGCACATCAATGCGAGCTGTGGCAAGTAGGTTTGCTGTGTCTATCAGCGTAGTGTCCAGAGCATGGAGGTGCTACCAGGAGACAGGCCAGTACATCAGGAGACATGGAGGAGGCCATAGGAGAGCAACAACCCAGCATCAGGACCGCTACCTCCGCCTTTGTGCAAGGAGGGACAGGAGGAGCACTGCCAGAGCCCTGCAAAATGACCTCCAGCTGGCGACAAATGTGCATGTGGCTGCTCAAACGGTCAGAAACAGACTCCATGAGGGTGGTATGAGGGCCTGACGTCCACAGGCGGGGGTTGTGCTTACAGCCCAACACTGTGCAGGACGTTTGGCATTTGCCAGAGAACACCAAGTTTGGCAAATTCGCCTGGAGACACCGTGGAGAACATTCTGCTGCCTGCAACATCCTCCAGCATGACCGGTTTGGCAGTGGGTCAGTAATGGTGTGGGGTGGCATTTCTTTAGGGGGCAGCACAGCCCTCCATGTGCTCGCCAGAGGTAGCCTGACTGCCATGAGGTACCGAGATGAGATCCTCAGACCCCTTCTGAGACCATATGCTGGGGCAGTTAGCCCTGGGTTCCTCCTAATGCACGACAATGCTAGACCTCATGTGCTGGAGTGTGTCAGCATTTCCTGCAAGACCAAGGCATTGATGCTATGGACTGGCTTGCCCATTCCCCAGACCTGAATCCAATTGAGCACATCTGGGACATCATGTCTCGCTCCATCCACCAATGCCATGTTGCACCACAGACTGTCCAGGAGTTGGGGGATGCTTTAGTCCAGGTGTGGGAGGAGATCCTTCAGGAGACCATCCGCCACCTCATCAGGAGCATGCCCAGGCGTTGTAGGGAGGTCATACAGGCACGTGGAGGCCCCACACACTACTGAGCCTCATTTTGACTTGTTTTAAGGACATTACATCAAAGTTGGATCAGCCTGTAGTGTTTTTTCCACTTTAATTTTGAGTATAACTCCAAATCCAGACCTCCATGGGTTGCTAAATTTGATTTCCATTGATAATTTTTGTGTGATTTTGTTGTCGGCACATTCAACTATGTAATAAACAAAGTATTTAATAAGAATATTTCATTCATTCAAATCTAGGATGTCTTATTTTTGTGTTCCTTTTATTTTTTTGAGCAGTGTATTTTGGATGTTTCCTCCTTTTGATAGGTGATCTGCTATTACAGGTGCTTTAGTTGTTTATTGAGACCAAGATCACTCAAGCTTGATGAACTGTCTTGTCCTTACTACATTGATCCTCCCCCTCTGGTCTGGCAGGAAGGGCATAATGTAGACCCCTTTGACTAAAGAATTTTGATTGGTGGGATCTAGGAGGAGAGCCATCTCTGCCATTGACCTCATCCTATGGAACATCCTATCTCTGGAAGTGAGGTTGGCCTCTACTCTTTTGACCTTCTGGAACAGTGTTAAGACTTGGTTCAGCCAACTAGTTGGGGATCCAAGAGGGATGAACAGCCATAGGGGTGGCTGGTTCCTTCTGGAGGCTCTTTCAGACTTTCCATATTGTTTTTATGGTCTCTTTTATTATAAATCACCTAGAGTTACTGATACAGTGAGATGGGTGGTGTATAAACTTGGTCAATTAATAAAGTCAATGCTAAGGACAGGTAAATATGTCCTGAGAAGTGATTTGTAGAATTAATAGTGTGCTTTATCCTATAATGAAAAAGAAAGGAAAGAGAGAGAGAAAGGAAAGAAAGAAAGAAAGAAAGAAAGAAAGAAAGAAAGAAAGAAAGAA